ACAATCTATTAATGGTGTATTTTTGGGTTGGAAACTTTTCCTGTTTGGTGAATTAGTTGGTTGCTGGATGTTGCATGTCCTTCATGTCCGATTTCGGTGGTGCATGTCTGCATGTCCTTCATGTCCCTCAGAGATTCAACATGCTTCCCAACCCCTGTCAAAACACAAACATCCCGCAAGGTTTCCCCAAACTCCAGCGCATCCACTTGAAGTGGTTGTTTTTGGTTTGGGGTCCAATACCTAGAAGGTTCCAACCAAAAAACGTTCCTTTTCTCGACCAGACGCCGGGTTGATCGGATGGGGTGAGTCTGTTCCTTATGCCCGTTCTGGAAGAAGATGAACAAGAATAGAAAAACCAGAAGCAGAAGGAAGAGAAAGAACATCGAGTTCCCAGACGTTTGGGCACCTGTGGGTGCCTAGTCGAAACCCTTGTCCCATGCCGTTCTAGGCACCCACATCGCTCCACCTCCCGACTCGGCCCCCGACTCGCGCTCCGCGCCGTGGCACGACGTACCGCTCGACGGTGCAGAAACACGGAACACCCAAACGCTTCGCGCCTGACCCCAAACGCTTGGTTCGTTGGTGAAAGTTCGTTTTTTTGGACGACGCCAAGGCTGGCCTCCATCCTGAATCCGTGCCTTGCAAAGTTCAAGGAGACCAAGTCCTATTACGACATTTGCGTGAAGCATGCCTCTTCCTTAGACGTGTGAAGTGGGAACTTGAAAGAAGTGGGGCAGTGACTTTCTTACATGGCATTTTGACGTCTGAAAACAACACCGGGAGTTTAGTTTGGACTGACATGGAATTTGCCAGAAAGTGGTGGCAGGTACAGTACAGAAATCAGCCGGACTCTTTGGTTTCTGCTTGCTGCGCAAGAAAATCAACGGTCAAATGAGTTAAATGAACCACCGCCGGCGCGCTGATGTGCACCAGGCTTTCAGGTCGGTGAAAAAAAAGAGGAAAAGGAACACATTGTCACATAACAAACACCTACAAAACAGAACTAACATGTTTTATCGTTCCTTTTCATTAAACCTGTATGTTTAACAGGTTTGCATCGCGCACGGTTTACGCATCGTGGCTTCCGTTGAGGGACAACCGTGCATCGTTCGGCATCGACCTTTCACCTCCATGCGCTCCGTGGCCGCGGCCGGGGGCGCCGGCGCCCGTTTGCAGACGAGCGAAGCATCGGGCTCCGACTCAATGAGGATATAAGAACCCGATACCTGCATCCAGTCACCAATGCCAAGCCTGGTACAAGGAGACCTGGCACTGAGGATGCTGGTACAGAATTCAAGAGATGGAGGTCTGCGATCAATTTGTGCTCTCCAATCCTTGGAACCTGGTGCTTTGCAGCCCTGCAGTTCCATCAGTTCCATGCTCCAAGCTCCACAGACCTCCAGCCCTAGCAGTCGCCCTCCAGCCCTCACAGCCCGGGCACCCTGGTTGACCATCGAAAATGAACAGATTACTCTAGGCTCGGGACGTCAACCTACCATGGCTTGGGGGGACACAACGTGTTCCTCACAGCTCCTGACTGCACTCCGCATAACAGCCTTCTCTTCCAGCGCTTTTCAGCCTTCTCTTCGCGCAGCCCTGACAGTAGTCCTGATGCAACTGCCTTTTCCTTCCCTGTACCTCATAGAATTCAGCTTTAACAAAGAAAACATGTAAGCAGCCATGACCAGCACACCATATAGTAACAGAACGCCTTCATGGCACCACCCTTCCGCCCCTCTCTTGACGCGTGCATAGAATGGCATAATGAAGGACGTTTCTTTTTCCAAAACTTGGACGACACGTATGACAAAGGGGACAGTTGCATTTGTGGATGCATTGCGGCAAGCGACTCACAAATTAACATAATATGAACCCGTATCTTCTGTCTTGTCCGCTCTTGGCAGTCAAGACAGCTGCGGACCTGACGGACTGGTGATGGGAGCAAGAACCAAGGACGTGGTCTCCAGTTGCTTCCAGAACTCCCACTTCCCTGCCGGCGACAATACAACCTTGGTCTACGAGATGCCCACGGATCAGCTGACCACTACATGTGCTCAGGGTTACCCGGCAAAGACCGGGTGGTACTGAAACGAGATGAGATCACGAGGTGGTTTTGGTTGCCCCCCTTAATGACTAAAGATCAGTTTCTTGGGGGTCTTTTACCTGTGGTGTACTGAAAACAAGGGCTCATCTTGGTCATCAACTCCAGTTCCGACTGACCTGCACACCTCTTGTCGTGTGATTCTTGGAGTCGCCCGGAGTGCCAAGGATATTGCCCCTGCCCCACCGTCTGAGTGCTATGAGCTCTGAAACCTGGACGAGACTGCACACGATCGCGTTTTAAGGTCTGCGGTCGGCCTCGTTCGTACATCGCACCACAGACTTCTGAAGTGCTGGGCCATTGAAGAACGATGAAGAACGCCCAATACTCTGCCTAGCGATCACCGTAGATTTTCCTTTTTAAAATGAAGTTTGTTTTCCCTGTGTAATTATGGGTGAATCCCGCCTCGGACATATTTGTGTTTTGTCATTTCCCGTTTCCTTGAGTTGAGCAAATCCAAGGCACTGTGTGCCCGGTGTGCCCATCTTTCTTTGGGATCGAACGAGTCGGGACCCCAATGCAGTTTTCTTTGGTTGGCCTCAAAGAACACATGGCTCCCGTTGGACCGTCCTATCGTAGAGAACATGTTGGGAACAGCAAATCGTTGCCGTGGACCCTTCAGGGTTTGCCTTATGCCTTAGAGCTTCGCAAACCTGCGATGCCAGTCCGACATAAGGGTTGTTGTTGCTGTCCCTGTTGTCCCTATTGTTGTTGTGGTGGTGGTGGTTGGTTGTTGGTTGTTGGTTGTTGGTTGTTGGTTGTTGTTGTTGCTGGTGGTGGTGGCGGTGGTGGTGGTGTTTTTGTTGGTGTTGTTGCTGTCCCTGTTGTTGTTGTTGTTGTTGCTGTTGGTCATTGGTCTTGTTGCCTTCCGCGTGCGCGCGCGCGCGCCCAATACCACAGCCTCCACAGCCCTCAGCCACACCCGCCACAGCCGTTCGTTGGGTATTCTATGCTAGTTTGCTTCCAAATGCGTCTAAGATGCACCCCTATACCAGTGCCAAACCGCACTTTTGAATCCAGAATTAACACCCCCAGTCCGACCCATCCCATGCCTGGAACCTGTCACCCCTGACTTAGCCGGACCCAGCCCAATTGCCTCTCAGAACCGCTGAAAAGAAGAACCGTCACTGTCTATATTCCCCATTGCGTTTGAGCAGGTGTCGGCGGATATCTTCAGATGCCTACCAGGCTTACCCTTACATGAGAAGAAAAACTTATCCGCTGGACACCAAGACACCCGACCTTCTTGGAGCCTTCCAACTTGTCCCTGTTGTGGACCCTCTCCAAAAGAAAACGATAAAACCGTCCTCATCGACGATTGGCAGGGGTATTTCTCACTTCGACGAGGGATCGTTGCTGATTGGAAAAAATAACTTGGAGCACTTCAGGAGCCGATTGCGCAGTTTCCTCAATGACAGGCTGCACAATCGGTCGATTGCGCCCTTGGCACCCTTCACTGATCTAGATGACAGTGAGCCAACGTGAATCCTCAAAAGTTCTGGATGCCAACGGTTGGGTCTATCCCAGAAAGTCCTAGCAGCTGTAAGAGTGGCTGAAGAATGAAAACTACTGGTAGGCCTAACAAAAACTAAGTAATTGTTTGGCAGAGGTCGGTCGGACATTTGCTGAAATACTGCTCTACGGTGACGTGGTAGTGTGGAGGGTTATGCACATTGATGCATGCAGCCCCCAAGTTTGGGGAAGGAACTGGGGGAATTGGTGCGTGTTTCTTTTTTGATCTGTATGGCCGGGGACAAGGACTGGTAAACATGTTCTTGGCGGGTCCTGTTTACCAGTAGAACATGGTCCCGCCTGGCTGCCAGTCTCAGCTTTTCAGAGTCACTGAACTAACAAGGACAGGTGATCCAACTGCCGTCCCCTTGGGCCTTTTGTTCTTTTAACCAGGTGATCCAACCCAGAGATTTTCATTAGCGTTTGTACTGTATCCACCAACATACTTTTGACGAATGACACCATGCAGTTTGAATGCATGTTGCCGGCAACATGCATGTGAAAAGTTTATGATGGGGGTTCTTGGTTTCGTTGGTTTGCCTTGTTCGATGAAGATTTTTGATTTGACGTGCCCCAACCGCAATGGTTGGCTCTTCAAAACGAAACGAAGGTCCCAACCTCCTACGATCCACCAGGGTTCACCAATTTACAGCCATAGCCGATAGCCAGTAGCCAAACTGTTCATGTCAATGTGAGTACTGTTCCTGGGTGAGGTGGTCAGAAGCTGAGGTGGTCAGAATGGTTGTATTCAGTTGTATACACTTACTTGAAGACCTCTTTAGGGTATCCATTAATGACCCGTTGGACGTTAAACGGTTTCTATTAGCCACTTGTGTGTCCTGCAAGAGTCTCCAATCTGAGTGATCATATGGCACCCTGAGGATTCACTCTCCCTTGCCACAGAAGCACTGCCTCCTGCTACAGGAGAATTGCAAATATCTCCAATTTGCCTTGTTGCAAACACAAAATGCTTTGATGGAAAAAGGCTGTGACAGTGATCGAACGATGAGGACTCCACTGACATGACTGGTCTTTTCATGGAATGCACTGGTCTTATGAACGGGGGATCCACATATACTCTCAGGTGGTGGAGGATGAACGGGGGGAGTGAGGATGGAGTCCGCCTTTTGAGGTGCCAGACGAGCTGGAGTAAATTCAAAGCTGTATGCAACACGAACGAAAGTCCCAGGATGGAACGAACGATCTCAGACGGCCTCTTGAAAAAGAGTATTCCCTCGAAAGGTTATCAGATGCCAACAAGGCATCAAAGACAAATCTCCAAGGAGATCAAGTCGTTTTATGTCTTTCTTAAATGAATTCTGACCTAGACACTCCCATGTATGCCATTTATGCCTACATTGACCCCCCCAAACCACCCCAATGTAGGCAGATATGGCATACATGGAGTGTTTGGGTAACTTCTTTTTTAGGACCTTCGGTGCCAGCCTCGTCACTGTCACCGATCTTTCGCTTCGATCGTACCAAAACGATATCTGTTGCGACCCGTGCGGTGCGGTGCTTTCGGTCCGCCGGTCGGACCTCGACCTGTGCCAGCACTCTCGCATGACCTCTGCAGTCATTGGCTGTCAGCGCAAGAGGCATAGCCGGCTTTGTCATCAATCGAAGCATCGCTGCATCGAATCAACATGTTCCGTCTTGCTGTTCTTGGTGCATTGGGAGGTTCAGCGGGCCGAGCGGGCATCAGATTCGCGCTGGTTTTGGCGGGCGCTGGGCTTCGGTCTGACACTTTTGGCCGAAGGATAAATTATGTTTCAGACCAGTTCCCCCTTTCACTAGAAGAGTTGTTTCCCGTCAGATACGTCCATCATCGCCCATCATTCAAAGAAGATTTAGTTTTGTTTGGTAAACAAATCTGATACACATGATCAACCTTGCAAACCTCACAACTCCAAACACACCGGACTTGTCTCAAGAAGTGGGACCAAGAACCAGTGGGTTTCAGGATGTTTCAATCATGGTTTTTAGTTAGCCTCCTGATCATCAAATCACACAGATCATGTTGGTCGGGCACCACGAGTTCGGTGAAACACGAGGTCTTTTAGCAAGGTAATGCCATATGGAGCCCTGATGTGTCTGTCCAGCAAATGTGTAACTGGTGCAACTTGATGGATCCTAAGGTATCTTTTCTGAGGAGTCATTCCCTCATTCCCTGCTAAGCACCAGTCATGAGATGGATGGAGCAAGGAGGATCCACGTTTTCCACGTGTATGTAAATGCTCCAGGGTGATATTTTTGGACTAGCAACACATGTGCATGTGATTTGTGTTGCAAAAAAGAGTAGGCAGGATACTGATGAAAATGGGGCACACAGTCGCATGGAGAACCATTGGCATACCCACCCCTTGGCCAGTTCCACTCATTTTGTTCCAGTTGAAGTCTGGGCCGTAGCAAGTAGCATAGATGAAACATGATGAAGTGGAACCCTATTTTACAATGGGAGTGTAACCCTATTGGGTGAACCTTTGGAAGTTTTCTCTCCAAAACAGCACAGCTGGAGGCCCCCTTCAAGACATGTACTTGTTTTGCAGAATGCGGGTGTTTTTCTGTGTGTCTTTGATCATTCTCCAGTATGTCATAACTTGGTCTGCATCGATGATCTCTAGTAGAGTCACCACGGGTTCACCAGGCGCCTCAGCGTCGGGTATGTGCGGACCCAAAGAGCCTCCACTTCCTGGCATCATGGGCCTCTTGGACGGTACAGTACTGGGATGTACTGGGAATGGTGGCAGAACTGGGACAGTCAGGTTTTTGATTCGTCTGGCAGAACTGGGAAAACCGGGAATGTTCAGTTGTTCAATTCCACGTTAAGCTTCGCGTACGAAGCTTTTACTTCTGATCCTCAGATCTTCCATTTGATCCTCAGTTCTTTTCTTCCCGGAGTCCTTGTGTTTGGGTTTGACGCTGCTCAAAAGCTGCTGAAAGAACGAATCTTCGTGACGCCGCCCACATGTTTGGACATGACGCAGATTTACTTAACTTTGTAGGTAAACTCTTGGGTGGGTTCCAGAAAAGAAGAGCCTTCCAAAATAGGTCCAAGTGAAGGAGAATTGTCCCCCCCAACTCAGGCTGCTTCATCCCTTCAGATCGTATCTGAGACTGGACCAGCAGTTTTTGTTTGCAGAACCCCTATGACATTTGAGCAGGACCACAGGAACCATGGGCATTGTTGGCCCATTCGACTGTTCACAATGGGCTTCACCCAATCCCATAGTTCCTTGAGAAGTTCGGTGTGTGTGTGTGTGTTCACAGAAAAAGAAACGTCGATCGAAGATCAGTCCCACTTGTGGGAGCCCTGTGTTTCCAGCATTAGGCGTTTTCATTCTGACCGTCTTCGACTTCAAACCAAATGGTTTTCGGTCTCCGGGTCTCCGATCGGTCTCCGGGTCTCCGATCGGTCTCCGCTGCGTCACGTGTGACGCGACAGGTGGCAAGGACAAGCCGAAGATCATCCTTGGCCAGGACGGCGACGGGGCCAATGCGTCCGCTTCGTTCTCTCTGACATTGGTGGAAACAGAAGAACTTGGTCTTTTCACCCCCGGGGTAGACAAGCTTCCGACCAAAACTGACCACCTGGTTGATTGGATTTGAGAGGGATGCTCCCAAGCCGGTGTTCGCGGGCCAGTCTACTGCCGCGGTCTGGGTCTTGGAAGCTCTAAGAATGGTGGAGAAAGTCAGTCTCTTCTAACTAGAAACAACAAAGCAAGCAACATTGTTCTTCATGAGGCTAGGTCTTTGGTTCATGGTCTTTAAAAGATCTTCTTGAACAGAAGAGAAACTGGTCAATGTGGGCTTTCCACATACATGTTGCCACAGAATGCCCGAACACCACCAAAGGCCCCCCACATCACTAGTGTAAGGCCGTAGCTTGCCTGGAAACGCCTCATGGAAGAGATCCGTGTTGTTGGTTTCCTGATCCGGGCAGGACGGGGTAGGACGGTGCTTTGGACGAATATGCACACTCGGCCAAGCATGTCATGTATCTTGTGGCATGCAAAAGATCCAGCATGATCCAGCTATACTTCAGGACATCGACTGGCCACCTTATGTATCTTGGCAAAGAATTGTTGGAGGTTGGACTCTTTGTAGATCACAGACCTCTCGAGTTGGGCAAGAAAAGCCTGACTGCAGGGCGAACCAGGCAGAAGCGGCAGTTCCAGCCATGTCCCAGTCATTTCCTCACAAGGGTCACATTCACTGGTGTTTTTCATCAGGGCAGATCCCTTTTTTTTTGCAACTGTTATCCATGGGGTGAAAGTTGAGGTTCCACCCCCCTCAAAGAAAAGAAACGACGTCCTTTCAACCGCAAAGTCCGAGACCTCGGAGGGCTCAAAGAGCGCCAGAAAACCCGATGGGTTGACCCTTCTCACCAGATGTATACCAAGCTGCCTTCCCAAGTGGTGATCACATAGTATGTACATCGTCCGGACTTCGGACAGCTCTAACAAGAACGCTACTAGTAACAAGTGCATCGCTACTAGTAACAGGTGCCTTACTAGTAGTAACAAGAAGCTACTAGTACTAGTAGTCTCATAGGCCCGTGCATCGCTTCTTGTTCCCCCAAAAGACGAAAGCACATCGCGGTCCAAGCTGCGGTGCTTCGACCGTTCGACGCACCGAGAGCACCTTTCGACGATTCCGACGAGTCGATTCAGGGACGATTCCGAGAGCGATTCACTGAGGCCTATTTGGGCGTTCCACCCGAGAGTGACTTCGACGTCGCAGGGATCGGTCACGACATCGCACACGGTTTGAAGGAGGTTTGTGACATTGACATCATCACTGCAGCGACTGGGCGGACAATGGCATGACTGGGTCATTGAAACGAAATCATACACTCTGGAACACTCCTCCCTGGTCCGGAGATTGGTCTTCATAGGTCCGAAGTCCATCGTTACAGGCAGCTGATCATGTGCATGTGACTCATGGATCATCGCTGTCAAACTTGGCCACATCAATTACATCAGCTGTGGGGAGCTTTCGGCAAATTCTGTTCCGCTGATATGCAGATTTATAAATGGAGAAAGCTTCACGCACCATGCAGATCTTCAGTTGAGTTGATGCCAACAAGTCAGGTTTGGTTCACCCTGTCAAAGTCATTGTTCTTTCACAGCTCAAGCTTTGCCTTTGACATGAATTGGATGTTTGTTCCCCTCCCAGCTTCACTTTTGGAGCTAGAGGAATGGTCCGTACTTCGCCACACAACCGATCCGACTACAGAACTGGATATGTTTCGCCCTAAACCCTAAACCCAGCGGGGGTAGGGAATTTCGCATTTGCACCAAGTTCGAAAGCGGTGAAACATCACGGGACCTCGCCCAATTTCTTTTGCACTTCACGCACCGCTGGCATCGCTGGCACGGCACCTCGTCCATTCCTACGGACGCACCGAAAGGCTCGTCCGGACGCTTCCTCGACCGAGGAGATGCGCTGGGGGGACTGCTGGGACAATGGCGCCATCGGCGCCGGTCTGGCGGCCGGCGAGGTCCACGGCAGCTTGAAGGAGAAGTGATGATTCCAACAGGGGAGGGTTTGGTGGAGGATGTACCCTCCATGTGTGGTTTTACCATGTTTTACCATGTTTTACAACCCGACCTGTTGGGGGGCTAAGGTTCTCAATTGTCCTCATTGCATCTTGCCATGTGTTTTCTTGTTCTTTTCAGTGCCATGTGACAACAACATCGAGTGCTTTTTTTTCTGAGGAGACCTGGCTCGACATCAGTAAACTCATGACATGGTTCGACTCGGAATTGTTTGTCATTTACGAAGATGTTCTCCTCGAACAGGTCAGCCCAGGGTTCGGTGGTTTGTCTATGAGTTGGTCAGCCCATAGGCGAACTGACATGTGACCATTTCCCAGACACTCCATGTATGCCATATATGCTTGCCTACATTGGGGTGGTTTTGGGGGTCAATGTAGGCAAGCATATATGGCATACATGGAGTGTCTGGGTTTTGTCTACACATTCATCCCCCAGATTTCTTCTTGTGACTTCGGACGCGGATCCAGCAGTGGATCAGCAGGGCTTGTGGGAAAGCAAGTGGATCTCCGAACCACGTTGCAACGGGCTCGTTGTTTCTTCATGTTTTGGTTTGTTGCAACGGCGTAACTACAGTAGCGTCGTGAGTTTTGGAGGACTGGAATGATGTAATATAACCGACCTTCAAACAGAACATGTATTTTTAAATGAACAGAAGTGACCATCGCTACTAGGGTGGAGGCCATCGCTACTAAGGCCATCGCTAATAGGTTGGAGACCGACTTGGGCACTTGGGTATTTGATCCTAGACATCTCCCGTTTCCACGAACGACTTGGTTTGCTTCCCGGTGCGCGGGGGGGCGAGTGAAGCGACCGGAGACGTCCGGTTTTTACGTGTACGTTCACGGATTCAGTTCATCCACATATTTTCTTAGAAGGTACTTGGTCCATCCAAGGAATCAATGTTGTCAATAGATATCAAATGAACTCAGTCTCGTGGATCGATAGGGAAACAATGAGACATAATGGGACATTATGTAAGTACCACGATCCACTGCGTCGACATACCCATCTTCGGTTGTTTCCCATCTCATCGGGGGTGCCCCCGCGGGTTGGTGGACGACCGCGCTGTCTGAGGCTGCATGACTTACACCCACACCCACGGCGCTCGTACACGTTGGATGGAGTTCTCCGATGGCATTTTGTCCAACAACAAGCCCGCAGGCCGCGAAACTGCGCAGGGATGTTCTGTCAGGGAATTCATAATTAATTGCAAGGGCTTCGCCCTGGTTTCGCCGACCCCTTTTTTAGGAAGGACCTGCAGTCCAGCCGCAGAGGATTTGGGGCCGAGCACGAGCAAGAATGCTTGGAGCAAATCTGACCCCAAAGACTCCCTCCCAAGGGTCCCAGCAGTCTGCCGCGCCACAGCTTTCCACCATCTAATGCCACACCAAAAAACAACTAAAATATTGTCCTGACAGGGTGCTAGTGAAGGCCTGCCGCAGAGAGTTTGGGGCCAAGACGAGCGAGAGCCTCAAACGCCTGGTAGGTGCCTCACAGGCAGGTCTTGCTGAGCAACTGGCCGAGAGCAAGTTGACCCCACCGTTATTCTGCGGTGTCCCAGGCGCCGCCGCCGAGGCTCCGAATCCAGCTCCAGAGGCTCACTCCCAAGTCTGTACCGCCACCATCTAATTCCACACCAAAAAGGGGCGAGCCGCAGCCAGCCAA